AACAGCGCGTCAGCCTTGAGAGGAACAGCGTGCAAGCAACAACCGCATGCAAAGAATATTTCCAAGGAAACAACAAATCCCCCCCCCCCCCCCCCCAAGCACGCACACACTCACACAAGCAACGCGAGAACAAGCAACGCGCGATTTACAAGAGCACACCCATTTAACGACCGAACGGAACACAGGAATAAGCACTGTATCTTCAAATTCATCGGTCAATGTAAAACGCCCTGTGAAACATAGACGTTTAAGTGCCAAGATGAGGATACGTGATGTCTTTACGTGACTGACTGCTAATATCTTTCGTTTCGTGAGGTGACGAGTTTACGACTTGTTTCGCAGTACGAAGGCGTGTTTCGAATCCTGAGAGGTAACCATTTTATTGCAATCCCCACTTTCCTTAAAGTGTTCAGAGTATAAGAGGGGTCAGGGAACTTGGAATGGGACCTAAAACGACCCCCAGAGACAAGGACAAATTGAAAGAAAGTGGACCGGACAAGTGCCCCCTTGGCGAGTGAAAATCTTACATGCACGCCTGTCAGTGACAGGGAAATAGTAACGCAGTTGGCTGAGTCTTTGGGAAGGTCATTGAGACTTGTCTGGATAACGCTATTTAACATCAAACTTATAATTTACATACAATATTTAGAAGCATAATATATGGTCACCGACGGAATAAGAACAGCATGTGAATTTTTGTAGTTGTCCCCTTCTAGCTCGATGTTCCTACAGTTGATAACACTTCAGTGTCCGTGAGCTTTAAGAGTGCCAGCGCTAGCCAAAACATGGTGGAGGCCTCCTAAAAAAAAAAAAAAGGAAAAAAAAAAGAAGAGAACATTTGCAAACGTTTTTGTCTCAGGACAAGCTCAACTAGCTCAGCTACAAGCAGCCAGGACGTCACTTCCAGTTGTGGGAACAGCGCGTAACCGAAGGTTACTAGATTAACTCAGTTGTGAAACTACCGCTCCCTTCAGTCCCTTCAGTTGTGGAACTACCGCTCCCTTCACTCCCTTCAGTCCGCCTTCCTCTGGCCTTCTGTCGTTTGAAGCGCCATCTGGATTTTTGTTTCAAAACTGTGTGTTCCATAGAGTACGGTGAAATGCCATCTTGACGCTGTGCTTCGAAACATACGGATTCCATAGGATACGCTGCAGGTATACCATAGCAGCCGTCCCCCCAGAACGTTGGCTCGTCGAACGAGCTGTGGGGGATGTCGGGGTATATACTGCTCGTGCAAGCAGCGTCTATGGGCAGTCCCGTAATTGAGCTAATCTAGAAACGTTGTCCATAACGGCTATTGCTGTAAAACGTTTTCCTCATTATGCCAATGGTTTGAGAACGATGCATGGAGGTTGCGATGCAGGGTTCCGCCGTTGCTCAACACCATGGAAACAAAGTGCCGGAAGGAATCTGCAACTGAAATGCTACAGATTCGCCGAACCGACCATGACGACTTCTTTGAACGCCTGATCACCGTGGATGGGTGCTCAGACGAGACAAAAAAACAAAGAAAATAGTGGAAACATGCCAATTCAACACTGCAAAAAAAAAAAAAAGAAAGAAAAAGAGAGGTGATGAGAGAGTTTTCATTGGAGAAGGTGGCGATTCACGCTTTTTGGACTCGAATGGTGTGTTTCTGACAGATTAGGCCCGTAAGAGCCAAACAACCACAGGGAAAGATCACCGGAACCTCGATCTTGACCAAATAACGGGAGGCCACCAAGTATCGCGGGTAGCTGCCCACGGGAGTACCGTTTGCGACGTCACAACGCATCGGTGACGCTTGCGGCGGTTTTAGCCTATTTAATTCTGTATGTGCTCCCGTATTCACCTGCCCGCGCTTCCAGTGACTTCAGCCTTCTTCCTCTCATGAAGAACCCACTACGTGATACGTGTTTTCAGGAGGATCACGAAGTGATTATGGGATTTTTTTTTATGCCCAGCCATAAAAAAAAAAAAAGTTTATATGGTATGTGTGCCCATATGGGGTGCACGTGACCATAGTGTTGCATTTGCTTCCGCCCGGCAGAGCTTATGTGAGCGAAGCGAAGGCGAGGCTGGCGAGGCCGAGGCGGCGAGGCCTGGAGGAGCAGACGACGAACCGCAAGCAACTCGTCGCGGCCCGTCGTGCGTTCGGAAGGTTTCACCAAACACGAGGAAACAGACGTTGATTAAGTGTGCTTTTTTCAGGCACTATAGAAAAAAACAATTATAGCATGAGTTGATGAACGTTATGACGATGACGAACGTACGTACGCTGCTGAACGGCTACTCAGCTAGTATATCACTTGCCGCTTCAAAAACGCAGCTTGTGGCTTATCATGTCCACGCTTCTTGCTTCCCGATTCGTTCTTTGGTGTTTTTATGGACCCATGTCGCAATCTCATGGGTTGCAGTACGGAGCCTGGAACGCGTCTCCGACTGGTGTGTTTAGCAGCGTTCCATTCCGTTCATATGCATCTGAAAGTGGTCCAGAAGTAGCAACAAATGAAGTCCCAAAGGTCCAAGTGTCATGCTGTCGGATGTCGCGATCCTGGTAGTTGGTCATAAAACAGGCGTCTGCCACGTACACCACCTGCTGCGACACCGCCAGGATCGCGGCTGGTGGCAGCATGACACTTGTATGCCGTCACCAGGCGGAATTCGAGGAAACATTTTTTTGGACGCGGTAAACACTCCAGTCGGAGATCCGTTTCAGGCAGTGTGCTGTCATGGCAAAAGTATTAGGATGTTTCTGAAGTTCTAAGTGTTACGAATTTTATTACCGGGGATATTTCAATTTAGCAAGGAAAATTAGCTGTTTTCGGTTAGTGGCTCTTTGAATTGCAGTTATAGGTCCGTAAAATTCATGGCGCATTTCTGTGGAAAAAACACAACAACAACGAAACGCGTGAAATCTGCGTGTCATCGGAACCTTGATACAGGTATAATAAAGCAATACAAGAGCAAAGCTTCAATTTAAAACCTCGTTTTTATTGACCGACGTTGATAACAGATCAAATTTACCTGCTGTTTCTGACCACGCGTGAGATATGATGCATGGAATATACGCACACGTTCGTGAAACGTCAGTTTTTAAATGCAATTAAAAAAAATTCGTTCAAACATCATGTTTTAGAGCGCAGCTCTTAGGCGCCCGTTTCCGGCTTGAGCGGCGTCGGCGTCGGCGTAACCGCGCGGTGCATTATGGAAAATGTCCCATAATGCACCGCGCGGGACCCTCGTGATGTCACTCGTGACGTCACGACCGGGAAATGTTATGGGGAAATGTCCCATAATGCACCGCGCGGGACCCTTGTGATGTCACTCGTGACGTCACGTGTATGACGTCACGAGTGTTCCGCGCGGTGCATTATGGGACATTTCCCATTATTAGGGTGACCATATTCCTCAAGGTAGAAAACGGGACATCCACGGGGGGGGGGGGGGGGGGGAAAGGGGTGGCCATATTAAAGATTGAGATTAAGAGAAACTATGTCATGCAATAAATTCTCTTATTTCAAAACGTTACCATGTTGCACTAGGGCCTAGAAAACAGCCACTCTCACAGTTCAGTTGCATGGACTCGTTTGGTTCAAAGCGAGTTTCGGTTTGCTTCAACTCGCTTGGTGGCAATTTCGAAACTATGCACTTCTGTGAAAACGGGACATCATTCTTAATTGGGACAAAAAGACGGGACGGCAGAGGCGAGCCTCAAAAATGGGACTGTCCCGGCCAAAACGTGACGTCTGGTAAACCCTACCCATAATGCACCGCGCGGGGAGGAGGAGGAGAGAGGAGGAGGGGGAGGGGAGGAGGATGGGGGAGAAGAGGAGACGGGAAGGGGCGAGGAGGAGGGATGAGAAGGAGGGAAGGGGACGGGGAGGAGGATGGGGGAGAAGAGGAGACGGGAAGGGGCGAGGAGGAGGGATGAGAAGGAGGGAAGGGGACGGGGAGGAGGATGGGGGAGAAGAGGAGACGGGAAGAGGCGAGGAGGAGGGATTAGATGGAGGGAAGGGGACGGGGAGGAGGATGGGGGAGAAGAGGAGACGGGAAGAGGCGAGGAGGAGGGATGAGAAGGAGGGAAGGGGACGGGGAGGAGGAATTGAAGGAGGAGGAGCAGGTTAGGAGGGGAGGAGGAGTGGCAGGGAGGATGAGGAGGTGAGGAGGAGGGGTATAAAAGAAAACCGCGCAAGGCACAAGATCTGGGAAACCAAGAAGGGCTGACTGGAAGCCGAGTTCTCGATTGTGCGAGGTAAGTTTATGATTAACGTATGATTAACGTAACAAAATGTTTGATTTTTCGACTTTCTCCTTACGCCAACAAAGGCGCAAACGGCAAAACCTACACGCGTATACATCGCATGTCCATGGGGACCCACTCGCTGGGAGGCACATCATGGCGGAAGCGGCACCCGCTGAGTCCGCTAGACCTAGCGGGCCGTAAGCCCCTCCCACCCGCCGAACTCTCCCAGTATAAAAGGCTCTGGGTATACCCTCCCCTCAGTACCCTTCCAACCTCCTCCTCAAGAGCTGCGCTCTAATTCGGCCTTACAGGGAGTTGTAAACGTCTTAATTTTTTTTTGTGGGGGAGGGGGGCAGTTTAAGCTCGAATAACCCGTCATAAAAGGCAAACAAATTATTTTTTGCTCGGTATGTCCAAGAGAGGTAAGTATTCCAAATCTTCAGAATTTTACATGTGTGTTGTGTTTAGACAGACGGAAGTTAGTCAACCCCAGTAGGCGTCCGGTATCTCCGCTGTATATGATAAATTTAGCCCGTGCGATACGATTGTTAGTCCGGGGCTTTTAATTTTATCGCGTATTATGGGGTAGATAGTCTACGAAAGCACGCAGGTGCGACAAGTCGAAACGGGCAGGGGTGGAGATCGAACACAAACTCACGGGCTTTTGGAGCGCAAGTTTTCGCTCCACCTGCTCCGAGCTTTAGCACACTCGTTCCCCGATCCCCTCCAGCCAGTCTTTTAAACACCCACTTCATTCGCTTTTAAGTGCCAGTAATTAGAGGTGGTAGCCGAGTCCGTAGCCGTAGGCTCCCAGAGCGTGACCATAACGAAGGCCGTAGGTGCCGAGTCCGTAGCCGTAGCCATAGGCGGGAACGGCGTGGTGGTGGACAGCGGCGACCGCCGGAGCAGCGTAGGCATGGTGGACCTTAGCAACAGCCGGGACGGTGTGGACGGTGGCCACCGCTGGAGCCGCGTGGACGGCGACGTGCCTGGCGACCGGTGTGGCCACGGGGTGCGGGCTGCGGTAGCTGCTCACGCTCGACACGTGGGACACGGCTGCTCCGTGGTGGACGGCGGTGACGGCTGGGGCGGCGGCAACGATTCGGGTGTAGGTCGGCGCGTGCTGGTAGGTGGCGACAGGCGCGGCGAAGCCGTGGAAGGGACTGGCGTAGCCGGCGAAGGCGCAGCTGGCCACGGCCAGGAGAAGACCTGCGCGGAGCTGCGTGCAAAATCGAGAAATTTGTATACTCTATTTGGGTACTGGGAATTGTGAAGGGAAAGCTTAATAATCTTGTGACCGTAAATTATTGTTGACAACATTATTAGCACGCTGAATGCTGCACCGAACACTCCTAAATCACAAAAGCAGCTGTTAAAGTAAAAACAGAAAAAAAACACAACAGAAAGGAATTAGTTCATCAAAACTTGCTTGCCACGAAAACATTTGAAAAAACCACGTCACAATAAAATGTCTTGAATTGACTAAAAAACAAAACAAAAAAAAAAAACCACCACCAACAACAAAAAACAATAGCACCAACAACGCAATTTCGGTCATCGAGAGCTTAAGGAAAGTAGTGTGTGTGCCAATCATCTTATCACTCCGCAGGGAAGAGCAATACCACATTAACAAATAAGAACACACAAAAAATGTTTTGTTAAAAAAAAAAGAAAAAAAAAGAAAAGAGTGTACTCTAATATTGCGCAATTTACGTTGGTGTTACGTCGTCGGATAACGTCTTCAGGAACTGCGAAGCGCAGCATAGTCGTTTTAAAAACCTTGTTTCTTTCTTTGTTTTTTTTTTTTACTGTGGTTTGCTGCAATCGGTGTTGTACCTGTTCCTCCGAAGCAGGAGCAAAATCTCGTTTCTCTTTCCTTCTCAATCTTGGAACGAGTTCCCGTCACAAGTTGCAGTAGTTCGAAAGGAACACGTTCCCTTTAAATTTCCAAGGCACGAACGTGTCGTTACATAAGCGTTATTTTTACTAATTTTAATATTTTTATGGCGCTGGATAATCCGTATGTAAAAGAAAGCGAACGAGCGAAGATATCCGCATCGAACTACGTGTCAAGTCGACGCGATCACATTTGTTCCAGTCCTTTGTTTTCTACTATTATACGCCTCCCGGACACTTCCGCATCCCTTCAAGTCGGAAGCTGAAATAGTCGATGATAAAGTCTAAATGCCTACTAAATGCGGCTAAAATTGAAGATAAATAAAAAAAAGAACGCCGTTCTTACTACCGTATATTCTCGAAAACATAGTGAGTTCCCCTTCCAGTTCTGCCGCTGCAAGATGGAACAGCGGCGTTCCTTCATTTCTCCTATACGGAACGCGTTCCAGGGCCGTCGTTCCTTGGAACGCCATGCCCATCGTTGGCCGCATAATACATTGGCCGCAATAAAACGGCTCCCCGAGCACCATGAAGAGAGGAAAGCTAACTTACAGCGATCATGGTTGGTGTGACTTGAGTCGGCGATGCACAACTGCTTTGAAAATTCAGGAAATGCGCGTCCTCTTTTATACCCAACTCTTTATGGAAAGAGAAGGGTGGGGCATCGAGACTCGAGCATTTTTCCAATAACAATTTTGAGACGCTCCTCGTACGTTTCGTCGATTCGTATAGTAAACAACTCGCCACTGTAGGGACGCGTGAAGGCATGCACTTAGTTTTTGCCTGAACGTATACAGATGTGTCGTGTGAGAAGGAAAAACTACGCTAACATATTTGCGTCGCTGGGAGCAGTGACCGTGAACCTGCTGATGAAAGATTTAAAAGCGTTAATGTACAGGGTGTTTTTCTAAACTTTACGAAATGCTAAAAAAAAAGAAAAAGAAGAGCTGTGAAAGCTATACAATGCGGTTTGTGCAGATGAGTTATATAATAATAATAATAATAATAATAATAATAATAATAATAATAATAATAATAATAATAACTTTATTCATCACCACAGATACATGTGGTGAATGGGAGGCCAGAGAAAAAGCTGCATGAACGCAGCTTGACGAAGCTCCGGACCCCCATTCAGCAGCTGCGACACGACACATAAATGTATTTACAATGAACATTTCATTTTTTGTGCATGTACGATCAATATTTAAGAAAAAAACAATTCGAGGATATTATTACAAGTAACACATGTACGGTCAAGATTTAAGAAAAAACAATTCGAGGATATTATTCTTCGAAAGCTGAATAACATCTATATTCCGAATAAAATAATAATTTAATAACATAGGTAACCTGTAGCTCATTTTCTGCTTACCATAATTGGTTCTGCATTTTGGAATCTGCCAAGGCTGGCGATGTCTAGATGAGTAATAGTAACCTTTTTCTTTTAAATCGGCGAGTTCAAAAATTATGTCGTTACGTCCATGTGCCGCATACTTATACGAGAGTGTCAGTCGATAATCATGCATTTGATGTATGTTAAGAATTTTGTAAATTTTAAACAATGGTTGTGTTGGATGTATGTAAGGAACGTTTGTAATTATTCTTACGACCTTTTTCTGGAGTAAATGTATCGCATTTAAATTTGACATGGATGTATTGCCCCAGACCAAGTTACAATAGCATAAATGGGAATAGAATAATGAATTGTATAGCACCCTTTTTACACTCGTGGGAAGAACATGTCTATGTTTATTCATAATTCCTACTACCTTTCCAAGTTTAGCACAAAGATATTTAATGTGATCATTCCATAGCAAGGTTTCAGAAAAAATAATTCCAAGCGTTTTTATACTGTGTACAAAATCAATACTTAAAGACCAGGGTGACAATATATAGAATGGCTGATTGCGACGATAAGTGGGATAATTAACTCAGATATGTTAATTCACTATTTAATTAGTGAAAGTGGATAGACGCTTGCCTGAGCGTCATCGAAAACCACTCAATTGGTAAATTCGAGAAATATTTGGAGCGCGCGTGGATAACCTGGTAGTGCACAAAAGTTTCCACGTGTGCAGGTTCACAAGACTGGCGGTGTGAGCACACGGATGCTAAGATTATCATCCGCGTTTACGTGCTGCCAGAATTGAGAAGTAATCTGTTACAAGCAACGGATTACTTGTAATTCGTTACTTGCAGTCTGTTATTTTTCAAGTAATTTTGTAATTGACACTTTACTTTTTTTGCGGCAGTAATTTGTAATGTAATTTTATTACAAATATTGGTAACGAATTACTTTAATTACTCGTTACTTAAAAAAATTGAACATAATACAGAAACTAGAGCAATATGGGCAGGCAATTCATCGTCATAAAGATAGCAAGTTGAACAGTATAGAAAACATCGAGAAGATAACCGAAAAGAGACCACGATTTTTTTTTGTATTATGTCGCCTGACAAATTACCGCTGTTTGCGTAATGGCTGCGGCATCGGCAGGCGTGTCTCCGTCCAAGGCGCCGGTACTTCCATCGCCAGCTCGCTTCCAGACGACATTTGCTAAAACCTCGTATGGAAAAGAGGCGCGCCAAGTTGTGCTGAACGTTTACTACAATCTCTGTAGTGAGTCTCCAAACGAGTCCTACAAGGCGATCGTCCATCCGCGACCACTCTCAGATGGTAAGAAAGCTTGAACTTGCAAAATAGTTCTTGACCGAGTCTTGGTTTAGTGTGATTGAGATTGTTGCTCAGTGTGTGTTAACATTAACCCAATGTGCTTGTTTTGCAGCAGTGTGGGAGGTGCCCTCGTCGGTGCCTGTCCTCACGAGTCCGTCCTGGTCTGTTCTGCGTCTGCTACATCCTGGTCTGTTCTGCGTCTGCTACACCACCCTTCAAGCACTCTCAGATGGTAGGAGAGCTTTAACGTGCAGAATAGTTCCTGACGGAGGTTTAGTGAGGTTGAGATTGTTGCTCAGTGTGTGCTAACATTAACTTAATGGGCTTGTTTCGCAGCAGTGTGGGGTGTCATCGCCGCTGCTCGTCCTCATGAGGCCGTACTGGTCTGCTCTGCGTCGGCTACACCATCCTGCGACCACTGTCGTTTGGTCCCAAGGCTTGAACTTGCTTAATAGTTTACGACCGACTCTCGGTCTAGTGAGATTGTTGCTCAGTGTGTGCTAACAGCGCTTGTTTTTGCAGCAGTGTCGTCATCTTGTTATATATTCAGGGGGGATCGGTGGCCGAGTGGGCTAGTGCACACCAGCTCGGAGAACGTGAAGCGAAAGCTCGCGCTGTAGATCCCAGGAGCCTGGGTTCAATCTCCAACCCTGCCCGTTTCGATCTGGATGAGCATCGTACCGACGTGCGGTCGTGTATCACTACTGCGTGGTGCTCGTTAAAGACCCCAGGTTAGCGGTTGTACCACACTGGCTAAATTGCCCATCTACAGCTGTGAGACTCATCGCCCGATGAGGCAGACCAAGTTCTAGGCTGTATAAACATACACGCAACCCATTTTCTCGTATATATTCATTGCATTGTCATGTTCATTAGACGCAACACTGCGGGTCTTCATGGTACGGGCTTTTGACTTTCCGCGATGCGGCGCCTGTCCAGAGCCAAATAAAGAAAATATTTGATCCTCTGAATAAGCATCATACAGGTGTGCGGTCATTTATCAGCGGTGCGTGGTGCAATCGTACTGCACTGGATAAATTTCTTACCCATAGGATAAACCAGTGTCACTTCGCACTGGCAGTCTTGAACTAACGTATATTTTACTTTGCTTTTGGGCTTGTTTGTGAATGTGCCTTTCATTAAAATTATGTTTTTATTATTTCCTGCTGCAGCCGGATCTATTTCGATAGGTATTACTGTTGACACTGAGAACTAAAATTTATACCATTTGTACTCGATCAACCTTCACAACATCGTGACTGCTTACGCAATGGGAGCAACATTAAATTCGGTTTCAGGGTTACACACTTTTTAGAGATGTTACGAACTTCCCGAGGTTCGAGTTGGAATAATTTTGACTAACATCGCTAGGTCCGAATTCGCGCAGTTTGAAGCTCAAGGGGCCTTCGCACGTAGGTGCCGTCTCGGAAGCGTTCGTGGATTCAGAAAGCTGTGATCGCCAGGATCACGACTGACGAGCTGGTAGGCCATGGTAGTGAATGGAAAAGAAAACATCAATTGACAACATGTCTGGTTGCGCCGTGACACGGAGGTGTATTCGTCGATGCCGCATGGTTTTTGCGGAGTTAGAGAAAAGAAACGAAAACAGCTTCATTTCGCCGTGCGGGGTTCGTCATTCGCTCTCCGAGAGCTAGGGTTGGTAAACGTCTCCTCTACGTCGTGGCAGTCATGTTCGGAGTTCTTGTGAAACGCACGCACGGTTTTGCAGCAAAAAGCTACGAATTAAATCACTGTCATTTTGCTTGTTTTTACACTTTTACTTTCCGATATATAAAACCCTGCGCGTTCTGCGTGCAAGCAGGGGCATGTGGCGCACTTCCAAGCAAGCAAGAGCGTTTTGGTTAAAGTCAAGGTTCGATTGTTAATGCTTACCTGAATTGTCGAGTAACTCAAAACGTGTATGGGTTTGTGTGTGCCACAGTAAGTAAAGCGAACGACTTTTACGGACCCTGCTTCTGCTCGACGGGTAATGCTATCCGTGTAAGCCTATCCCACACACAGAAAGGCGACAAAACCGTCGCGCGTGGACCTCACGACTCCAGAATGCTCCAGAGTTCTGCAATAAGTGAAGAACAGTGCAAAAAGTCGGGTATGCTCATCGAAAACAGCAGACGAGACCGGTTCCTCCCCAGTGAGCCTGCCAAAGCCTTCCTGCCAGCGCCATTGCAACCCGCGCACTGATACGCGCTTGAGGAGCAAGCTGACGTCACTTCTAACCATGCGTTTGATTGACTCTAGCAGTCCGTAGCTTTGGCTTGCAGTCCAACGTAAGGTAAAACGGAGTATAGCCGTTAACCAATCTCGGGGTAGGGCACTCTGGTTGAGTGAGGCATCGAAGAGTACGTGAACATACTCGGAAATAATTCAGAGTAGGGAGGAAGAAGAGCATTCGGTAAACCGTCAGCATCGCACGATTTGCTTACCTTGCTATTCAATGATGAGGAAAATACGCCCTCTCGGCTTGAAACCACATCAGGCATCATCACACCACTAGATGACGATACACAATTCGCGGAGTGAGTGAGAAGAGAATTCGTCTTGATGAACGCTGTATGGAAACTGTCGTTCAATTTATTGGAAATGATATTAAGATGAGTAGTTACACTATCGTTAATTCTAAGTTGGTGTACGCATTCTTTGGTGCAAGAGAGAAAGCGCCAAAGGTTTTGTGGAGAATGTTTTCAAAAATTGGCAAGGGTTCGCCCATAAAATTTGTAACATCAGTTGCTCAGCTGAGAGAGTTATTCGTCAATTAGAGCGTGCATCTCCGCGCTACTCTTAACATTTGCTCTGCCCTTTCGCTTAACACGTTGTTTTAGGTGAATTATCTCTGGACTGAAGCCTGGATTGTGTCGTCTAACTGTTTTTCGACGGGTGGGAACCAATCTATTAACACAAGTCATCACGAGTGACTTGAACTTGTCCCAAAGAAGCGAAGCGTCACCAGCGCCTTCGACATCCGAGAAAGGAAACTGAAAACAATCGAGAATAGATTCATCATCTGCTGCTGCGAAATCGGAGAAAGTTTGAACTGACCGAGTTTTCTTATCATTACGAATATTCAGACTCAGATGGAGTAATTTATGATCGGCGATTCCCTCGCTGGTACCAACAGTGCAATCTTCTGGAAATTTTTTAGTAATAATAAGATCTAGGATAGACTCAGTTGTATCAGTTACTCGTGTCGGGACGGTAAATATTTGTTTAAGGTCATGAAAAAATAAATAAAAGCTGAATCAAGAAGAGAACGTGCGCTCTGTCACCGTCCTGAGTTTCCGAGATTACTTGTGTACTCCAGTTGATACTTGGTAAGTCGAAATTACCAGCGAGCACACATCTTTGATTAGGAGTGATTATATGTCCTAGATGGTCCGCCTAGGATTCCAAATAAAATACAGGGCTCTTAGGAGGTCTGTAAACGACGCCAAACAAGGTAGAAAAATTCCGATAATTAATTTTGCACCAAATGCTTTAATGATCGGGAATGTTTTCGAGTTGAACCTAGTTGGACTTCTTTTTTTTTTTACTATAATTGCTACGCCACCAAATCTGCTTTCTCGATCTCGTCTTACTATTTTTCTGTGAAGGGGGCCTAATTTCGGAGTCAATAATGTTTAATGAGAGCCACGTTTGCGTAACAGCTAGAATATGTGGGTTGTGGAGAAAGAACACATACTTTAATTGACATAATTTGTTTGCAATACTTCGAGCATTCAGGAAAATGCTTCCGACTACTTTGAGTTCGTTTCAGGAAGATGCTTTCCCCAAGCTTGATTGGTGAACTTGTTCTGGTCGAACATTAACTGGGTGGGCTCATTCCGCTCGTGAGTTTACTTCGTCCCACATACATACAGTATCGTCCACACGCAGCCGGTCATGGTCGAGGGCTACCTTATGGCTCTGGGTTTTGAATTCTTTGCCGTGTTTCCATAAGTTAGAGCGTTTGAGTAGAGTAGCTTTGTAGGCATTGCGACTAATGGAAATAGGTGAGCCCTTCAGTTTCGAACAATCCTGAAATACTTGCATTTTTTCGTTATAGTCGAAGAAATTCAGCATGATGGGCTTAAGCTGAGCGGCTCTTGCCCATTCTGTGCAGCCTTTCCACGGTGTTAACTATCACACCAAGTTTTACATGGAAGACCTCTTTGAGAACGTGATGTTTTAAGCGTCCGGGGTTTTCGCCTACCATTTCAGGCAGGCCCCCCCAAAATTATAGGAGGACACTTAAGACTGCTTACGGTGTGGGGATGCGAAAGCATTTGTATACGTAGCGTATTCCTACAAGCTTCACGCCCCGCTATCCTCTACAGAGGCCAGCCGGACAGCCTCTGCGGACGCCGGCCGGCCGGGCTCTGGGGAGCGGCAGATGTGCGCTCCTGCGGCGGCGGCGGCGTTCCCTGGAACTATCCGGCACGTGAACAGCGTCGCAGCCATTTTTAAAGCCGTTCTGAGGAGAAAATTTCTCTGTCGTTTTTTCGCGGTTACGGCGCGGAGAGAATTTCTCTGCCGTTTTTCGCGGTTAGGGACAACGCCGACTCCGCTCCATGGGAGAGTTAATGCTTTCGCATTGCTAACCAGGTTACGACGTCGATTTCTGTCTTCAAGGTCATCCGATTTATTCTGCTGGTCGGTAATTATCTTTTTAAGGTAAGAAACTTCTAGCCGGAGATCCTTAATTTCTTCTGTGTGCTGTGTTAAGACTTTCAATGAGTTATTCAACTCAGAAAATCTGGCTTTCATTGTGTCTTGCATCGCTGATTGATTGGAAGAAACCTTGTATATTGAGGCCTGCAGAGCTGTTCGCATATTTTGTAGTAGATGTTTAAGATCATCCGGCCCCCCGAGGTTGCGCTCGACGTCACCGGCAATCAGGAACAAAAGGATTTTGTGCTCTTATCGAGCATTGCAACACACTTTAGCGGGCAAAGCAGGACAATAATATACCGATCATCCCTGCGAAAATTTGATGTATCATATTTGTACCGAACCTGTGCAAAGCACATGGCTAAATGACAGTGATAAATTTTCTAACTACTACGTTCAGCCGGGAAGGCTACCCAGATAATGTTCTGACGTATCGTGGATCGCAACTCATAGCTGAGGCCTTTGAATACTTTTTGTGCGAGCCTGGAATTCGTCACTGCTGCTCGTCTGTGTACTACCTACGATGGTTTGGTTTACTGGTTTACATGAATGTGATCATAGCCCATGCCAACGCAACGCAGAATTCGCCACGTTGCGTTGGCATCCATGTAAACGCAACCAATACAATGGTCAGGTTAAGCGGTTTAACAAAGCCTTTAAGGGATTTATTCAGTTGGAAGCTCTGGCGCGTCGACTTCTTGATGTGACCGCCCTTTAGTACCTGGGCGTCTACAGGTGCACACCTAATGCCACAACGGGGGAGACAGCTGCTTTGCTTCTCCATGGTCGTGTTCCTGGATCCCGACTGGACTATGTGGGGTTCCATTCATCGGGGCTCTTTGCAAACCCTGTACATGCTCTCGCCGACATGGAAACTAGAGTCCAACAAAGGCAGGCGTACAGCAAGCCCTTCAAGCCTGGAGCTCCAGTTTCCCCTGCAGCTGAAGTCGCCCCTGTAGCTTCGGGCCAAGTTACCACAGGGCCATCATCGCAGCGAAGAAGGCCTGCCTGGCTCGCTCGTTTTGGGTGATTACAATACTAATACTGTTTAATGTTACCACTTTGATTTGTAATAAACTCAATTTCTCGTTGTCTGAGGAGAGGAAAGTGTATACAGGCAACATTGGATATCTGTATATTCCCCCCCCCCCCCCCCCCCCCCCGGAAATCAGCCTTACAATAAACATAATTCATCCTTGTTTGGTACTTTTGCTGCTGCAGTATACTCTCTTCCATATTCCTGGTGGCTATGCTAGCGTCCAGGATATATTCCGATGGCGGGGACCTTGGCGACCGCCGGGACGGTGTGAACGGTGGCCACAGCCGGGGCCGTGTGGACGGAGGCGTAGCGGGCGACCGGGGTGGCTACGGGGTGCTGGCTGCGGTAACCGCTCACGCTCGACACGTGAGACACGGCTGCTCCGTGGTGGACGGCGGTGACGCCTGGGGCCACGACTCTGCTGTACAGAGGAGCGGGGTGGTAGGCTGCCACCGGGGCCCTGTAGCCGTACAAGGGACTGGCGTAACCGGCAAAGGCGCAGCTGGCCACAGCCACGAAGAGACAGGAACGAAACTGGAAGGAAAAATATGTGTTAGACAATTGAATCGAATCACAAGTGTGAAATGAAGATACCCTGTTCAAAGTATTGTTTCTTTTGGAAGGAGACATTATAAATATAATTCGAGCTGTGTTTTTTTTTTTTTTTTTTTTGCGCGCCATACGCATCAGTTTTAAGTCACATCACAGGAAGAGGAAGCTAGCTGGGCGTAAGACGTGTTTTTTTCATCGTCAGAGAGCCAGCCGGACCAGTGGCCCACACCATGTCTTCAATGGATAGGGTGCACATGCCGCTCGGTTTCATGCTCGACCGCAAGTTGGTAGATTTCAAAGCCCGCTTTCACGAAGACCGCCGTCCGGCCAACTCCGGCGCCAACTCCGGCGCCAACTCCGGCGCCAACTCCGGCGCCAACTCCGGGCGATCACCACGGCGGTACCTAACTCCTTGCGTCGCTGGAAACTCGGCCGGCTCGTCTGCAAGCTGTGCACGCTGGGAGCCCTTGCCAGGCGCTCGTGACCGGCCTGCTAGACGTCGGAAGCCCATGGTGGCCTCGCGAAGACCGCTGTGAGGCCTAACGCTCTTCACCCTCTTTGCCATACCATCATCACCTCATCCCATATGGATCTAGTTAACGAGCCTCCATCACCCGCAACATCAGCCTGCACCCTCGACCACAAGCTCCATTTCAACACCGTCATTCAGATTCATTTTGTATTTTATATCAACCCCTTATCACCATTAGACGCGGCACCGCGGGCCTCTATGGTACGGGCTATCGTCGCCTTTCCGCGGTTCCACGGCTCTCATGAGTCATTAAAGATTACTATTACTATCCTTGATGATTGAGGCATTTTAAACCATATATTTTGCTTGAAAATGCAGAAATATAATTTTAATAACATTTTTTTAACAAATCGTGGAAGTTTTGGATGCGTATCTTATATAGCTACCCAGGAAATTCAAGCAGTTGTTGTAGGTATGGCTCATGTGAAAAAAGAAAATATGTAATACCTAAAATGTGTTGATTACCGATAGGTAATTGTAAAAATGTGAGCGTGGGAAAAATTAATCTCATCAAGTAAACTGAAAACGATTATCTATGCGATGCAAAATCGAACTGTCAATACTTACTGCTAACATGATGACTTGTGGCCGAGATGAGTACGGGCCGTAAACTACAGCACATTGACATTCTTTTTATATATCTTAATGAGATGGGAAGGAGGAAAAGTTTAGGCGGGGTCTGTTTTGCAAATAAGTAAACATCTGGGTGGAAACGAGTTTACGTTGTTTGGTCACGTTCGACGGTTACTTCGACGTTGGCCTCGCCCCATCGACGGCGGTGATATTTCTGCAATGAAGTCGACTTATCTTGGGAACTAAGTCAGGAAAGGATTTCTACTAGTCTATTGACCTTCATCGTGACGCACAGGTTTGCCCTCAGCCTACAGACGCGCTCTGCTGTTCGACGACAAGGAACGGCAATTGCGGGGTCCGTGAACGGTGGAGCAGTGCGAGTTATTTTTATGTTTATGATTATTTACTGATGCCCACCAACAGCAACATGCCTTCCCTGTAGTGCACCACAACACAGACGAAGAAGAAACATAGGCACATATTAAACGCTCTAACATTATGCACAGAAAACACCAAACTAAAAAAAAAAAAGCGGTAAACAAATGCACATATTCTACTATAGCTTTGATGATGATTGAAACCTGAGACTGTGGTTTGAAAACAGAAACTCGTGAAGTAGGAAGAAAAAGGGACAGACAGCGTCTCAAACTCGGCTAAAAACTTTATTGCCTCTACGCCTTATATAGACCTCCCCCGAACGTCGCCACCACCACGACGGTTGATCACCGAACTAAAAAAAACAATACACCTGAATCACAATACAGCGAACCGCAAACTACACACACACACACACACACACACACACACACACACACACACACGCGCACGCACACACACACGCACGCACGCACGCACGCACGCACGCACGCACGCACAGACAGACAGACAGACAGACAGACAGAGTTCAGGGGAAAGGGGGGGCTTCGACGCGGACAGTGTACAATACAAACAGAAACCCAAGGTTGTCACCATTGCACCCGGAAGGATTTTGACGCGGGCAGTGTAATACAAGCACAGGGAAACACACAATGATCATTTCTAACCTACCCCCCTTTCCCCTGAACTGAACCATGAATTAAATGAGTGAAACTGACTCGTTTTGAGGCAGGACGGAAAGAATGTAAAAAAATGCACCGCGACATATCTGTTCCATGTGTGAGTGCAGTAGTGTACGAAATTCCCTTGGAATGCGGCTTTAAATATGTTGGTCAAGATAGAACATAAACGGATTGTGCGGATTAACGCTTCAAACTCTGAACTAGCGAGGCATTTCCAGGAATGCAAAGCATGTACAGCGAACTGGTCGAAGAATGGAATCGTACACAAAGAGCGTGAGGAGACGACACGTGTTGAGGGAGACTGTTCACATAAAAACATCGGGAAATTGCGTTAGCCAAGCGTTACTGCAACTTGGAAGTGAGTAAAAAATTGAGACGTCGTCCTGTCCCGTTCTGTTTCTTCGACTTTTATGTTATTTTCTACCCCAGTCTCAGGTATATTCAACATGGTTAAAAAAATTTTGTTTGACTGTGAGGACTTCGTGTGGGGTAAACTTCCGGGTGCGGTGGTGACGACCTTGGGTTTCTGTTTGCACTGTACACTGTCCGCGTCGAAGTCCTTCCGGGTGCGGTGGTGACGAGCTTGTGTTTCTGTTTGTATTGGAGGCCCCGTGTACTGGGTGAAGATGGTAACGATAGGGTACGCTTCTCTCTCTTTTTTTTTTATGTGTTTTTTATGCATTGTTCGCGGTTCGGTGTATTGTGATTCTGGTGTATTGTTTGTATGTAGTTCGGTGATCAACCGCTGTGGTTGCGGCGACGTTCCGGGGAAGGTGTAGAGGCAATAAAGTTTTTAGCTGAGTTTGAGACGTTGTCTGTCCCTTTTTCTTCCTACTTCACGAGCTTCTGTTTTCAAACCACAGTCTCAGGTTTCAATCATCATGTATAACGTACACCAGCTCGCCTGGACTTTAACCGTCTTTTTATAGTTTTGATATTGCTAAGTCTTTTAAAATAGCTCTAAGATATAGACAAGCCCATTGAAGATGATAACAATAGTTATACAAAATTTATATTCGGGTGACAGGCGAAAACTGTGATCGTCCACCAACATAAAACAATTTCATTGGCCTCAATGAGCAATATGACAAACAAGTAGGTTTATGCGAATATTTGAAATTTCGAATAGTAGTTTCGAATAGTTCACTATTCGGTATTCCCTTCGAGAAGAACTGCACTATTCGCTTTTTTCGAAGTCTTGATTGTGCCAGATTAGCTCCGTTGAGTGCGGTTCTTACCGAGCACTGGTGCACTGCGGTGAAGCAATACCCGCGGAAGCGAGCTCCGCGGGTGTTGCTCTCTGCATTTCATCGGTGCTAGGTTAGAAGGATACTGAAATAAAATTAACTGTTGGGCTAGTTGGTTAAACATCTTAATTACAAAAGCGCAAAGGACAAGGACAGGACAAAGAATGAACAGGACAAGCGCTTACTAACAACTGATTGTTTAATGCATAAGAGAAAGACGAAAATGAGAGGAGATTTAGTAAATTAAAATGTCATTTGTATTCCGACGTAAAATGATTAAAAACTATCTGAGAAAAATTAGGACTGATAGAAAAATAAATATAAATAAAAAAAATCTGGCTGCTTTTCTTTATTTTTTGTTTTTCTATCAGTCCATAATTTTTCTCAAATAGTTTTTAATCATTTTACGTCGGAATACAATTGGCATTTTAATTTATTAAATCTCCTCTCATTTTCTTCTTTCTCTTATCATGCATTAAACAATCGTTTGTTAGTAAGCGCTTGTCCTGTTCATTCTTTGTCCTGTCCTTGTCCTTTGCGCTTTTGTAATTAAGATAGGTAAGAAGTGCACTCAACAAGGTAACATGCCGCGATAAACACTTAAAAAAGTACGAATATCGCCATTGCGTGCTTGGAAGAAAAACATACGTTCAAAGCGGAATGGTGCACTCGTGCCGGCTGTATTTTCAAATAAATAAAAAAATTGTGAATGTGTATATCTACATTGTAGTAAAACTTTCAAAATTAAAATTACTGTTATGCAAGAGTATACTATATTAGGCAGGGATACCCTTACAGCCTGAATTCATCATGCCCGATTAATTCTGTTTTAACGCGAGATTAAATAAAGAATATTTTATATATCAAGATTTGTAAATTCACTCAATTGTGTATAGTTTGCCATCCCTATAGGATTCATTTTATGTCAAATCCGTCGTTTACTTGCCATCCCAAAACACCAGACCTTCTGAGTTCACAGTTCATAAATATAGATAGATTAAACGTTGCTTGCAAATGAACAAGTGGAAGAACCTTCATAAGTTTAGCTGGGTTTTCATCTAAGCATTACGCAGGGGTAGTGATTACGCAGTGGTGTGAAAAAACTATTCGATATTCGATTCAAAAATATTCGGCCGAAACCACTATTCGCTTCAAATTCGCCTCGAACTCAAAATCTACTATTCGCACAAGACTACAAACAAGAGCTCATGGCGGATATAAAAACTTGATGACACTCTTCCGTTTTGAAGTTTGTGCAAATATAACAAATCATGAAGGTCTATCTTTTTTTTTTCTGAAAATGTGCCCATACCATTTTACTCAGCAGTCAGCTGTGGGCATAATAAAATTTATATTCGAGTATCGGTTATAAGCTACACGAATACTGCGCCCCTGGATGCTTTCAATACGCATACATTTTGAAGAATTAAGTGAATTCAAGCAGTAGAATCAAACTCCGAGTTTGAGCGGACAAGGCAATTCCACAACACAAGTGCAGATGACAGTATTTGGAACTTTCGCATAATTTTTGACACCATAATGAGCATCTTTAGTGATTAGCTCACCACAGCGTTAACGTTAGAGTCCATCCGAAGCGCGGAGTACCATTACACTCGAAGGTCGCGTATGACAGACGTTCTTGATATTTAGGACATGTTGAGCCTGTAAGGATGCTGTTGAGGAAGTCGAAGAGAAGAAAGAAGAAGGCACGAGGAATTTAAGTACCGATCGAGACTTTAGAAAGATGAAGATGAGGGTGTTGTTCTTTTTACCATTAAACTCAACGGTCACATAGACATTCTGATGCCAAAGTCCACCGTCTCACGGATAGATCTTTAAGAATTCCACATGGTGCCGAAACCCGGGAGAGAGCTTCAAGTCATCGTATCGTGCTCAACAAGACGTTGCGAAGGCAAGTGAAACGGAAATCTTATTGATCACGAAGAGCCAAACGACGGAAGCATTACGACCGGGAGAAGTAACACGAAGATAAACTCTTCGGCTTAGAGATCTACAAGCTTAGAAACGGCATCAGCTGACCTTTGAGCTCACAAATAGCCATGGATCGGTTGAAAGCCAAGCGTTCAGCCCGACGAGCCCAGAACACGCGGCGGATTAACGACGCCGACACTATCTTGAATGATCCACAGACAGACTTATGGTACGTTTACACTTGCGGATCCGCAAGCGGATCCGCCCAGCTTTTGCCGCTGGGGCGAAACGCTGGGCGGAAAACGCGGCGGCGAGCCGTATAGGTCCGGGATCTATTTCTGCCGCCGAACGAGGCGTTTCGCTGACCGGATGTGACATTCTTGCGCAGCGCGACGCTGCCTACGTCACGAGTACGCGTTCTTCCGGGAGCAGCAACGCCCGGGAGAGAGAGAGAGAGCCGAGGCGGGAACTCTCGCGCCTTCTCGTCATATTTGACGAGACGTTACGGGAACCGCTGCCGCAGCCGGCGCTGCCGCCACTGCTCGAAGGAAATAGATGTAAACACAACCAGCTCGTCGCCGCCGCCGCCGGGAGCGGATCCGCTCCCGCGGCAGCGGATCCGCTCCCGCGGCAGCGGATTTCTTTTCAGGTGTAAACGTACCATTAGGCAGGCTCCACGCGGTCAAGGATCGGCTGTCTGCCAGCAACATTGAGCTAGACCGCATCAACGAGGAGCTGGAGCCATTATTGCCAACGACGGAGCTGG